CCATTGCTTAATTGGTGCCATAATTATCTGAAGAACCGAAAACCTCTTGTGAAAATTGAAAATTACTACAGTGAGCCGATGTTGACGACGGAGGGCACGGCACAAGGTTCGGTACTAGGACCCTTACATTTTTTGTCCTACGTCAATGACATGGGCAACTGCATCGTCAATTGCACATGCTACCAGCTTGCGGATGATATTTGCCTTGTAATTGGTGATAAAAATCCACAAAAGGCTTGTGACCTTTTGCGGTCTGACCTAGATAGGGTATCTATCAAGGTCCATGATGCTGGGCTTGTCCTTAATGCCAGCAAAACTAAGTTATTTGTAAGTAATTAAATCTCCGTACCTAAAACACACACAATCACATCTGCCATAATAATAACAGCGCTGTTGAATGTTGCTGCCCAGAAATTGATATAGGTAGTTGACACCCAAACATATCTCGGACTAGTTATTGACAGTAAATTTAATTGGAGCTAGCATATTGAACATGTATGTACTAAACTTTTTTTTTATAGGATAGGGTGACAAACGAGCACACAGTCCACCTGATGGTAAGTGGTTACTGTGACCCATAGACATTCACATCTATCCTCAATAAAATCTCAAGATACAGATGCGTTGTCACCCGTGAGGACTAAGACGGAATGCCTCTTTGCCAGTAAAAAGAGTCTCCGGTTCTTTACACTCACCATACGAAACAAAGCAGCGTTAAGTTGCTATTTTACGCTGGTATACTGTGAGAGCGTGGTCCTTCCCCGGTCGAGCCGACCCATTCGTGCTACAACTATACTATTAATATAGTTGCAGCATGGCTCTACCACGTTAAAGACAAGACTAAGACAGTTTCTAGTAAATATCACTATTCTCAATAATTGCATCCCATTTAAAATAAAGTTAATATTATTGCGACACTTGCGGAATCGCACGTTCAATACGGGGTAAGTAGCTATACGGCCGAACTTAGAAAACATAATATATTGACCAGATCCATAATTTAAAAGCAAGAATACATAAAATCATAGTTCCAAATAAAATAAAAAATAAATTCCGGGATGACGTCAGTGGTCTTTTCAAATTCTGTAAAATTTTACCAATACATATACATTTGTTAAACATTTTATTAAAAGAACAGTTTTTAATGAATCGCTAAGAACACCGATCGAGCATTCTGTATACACTCGAGCAATTTCTAAGAACCGTCTCATCGGGCCGTGTGCTAGCAATGCGTACGGTGAGCGAACATATAGCTACTTATCAATAACTTGCCGTCAGAATTGGTGGATAATGTCACTAAAAATAACATTAAATGTAAGCTAAAGGATCACTTTCCTAAGTTATTACAACGTGTTTTCTCATTATTTTCTGATTGTTTGCACGTTTTTTTCATGTTTTTCTTTCCTTTTTACAGTATAATACAATGTTATGCAATATTATTTTATAAAATAGTAAACTATAGATAGCTTAGCTATAAACCTTAGTGGTTTTTATATGCTATCATTACAAATATTTGTAATGCTTGTTCAATTGATAAATAAATGAAAAAAAGACAAACGTTTACATCTATAAGATTTAACCTGCGAGAGAATGAGATAGAATACAGTACACAGTGCTCATTATAAATGTATTTATATTTTAATTACATATTTCATAAGCCTACTACTAATTACTATTCTACTCCTGATACTTTGCATTTGTCTCATTCTCTCGAAGTTTAATTTTCTGAAGGTTTCATTTCTACCACGTGTGAACTGCAGACATATTTTTATAAATTTAGTTATATTTTAATTACATAAGCCCTACAAATATTCTACTGCTGATGCACTGCATTCGTCTTATACTCTCGAAGTTTAGTTTTCTGAAGGTTTCACTTCTACCACGTGTGAACTGCACACATGTTTTTATAAATTTAGTTATATTTTAATTACATAAGCCCTACAAATATTCTACTGCTGATGCACTGCATTCGTCTTATTCTCTCGAAGTTTAGTTTTCTGAAGGTTTCACTTCTACCGCGTGTGAACTGCACACTTGTGTTTAGGGTTCCGTATCCGAAGGGTAACCAACGGGAACCTATTACTAAGCCTCCGCTACCCGTCTGTCCGACCGTCCGTCCGTCTGTCTGTCAGCGGGCTGTATCTCATGATCCGTAATAGGTAGGCAGTTGGAATTTTCACAGAATGTGTACTTCTGTTGCCACTATAACAACAAATAAATTAAGAATTAAAGGGGGTTACCCTATTAGAAACGGGTACTTTTTTTGCATTATCATCATCATTACAGCCCTTCACAAATCCACTGCTGAACATAGGCCTCCCTCAAGGAATGCCACAAAGCACGGTCCTGAGCCAACTGCATCCATCGACTTCCTGCATATCTTACGAGGTCGTCACTCCATCTAGTGGGGGGACGCCCAACACTTCACCTGCGGGTACGAGGCTGCCACTCGAGAAACTTTCTTCCCCATCGGTTGTCGGTTCTTCAAGCTATATGGCCACCCCATTGCCACTTCAGCTTACTAATCCGTTGGGCTATGTCGGTCACTCTGGTTCTACTGCGGATATCCTCATTTCTGAGTTTATCACGCAGAGAAACTCCGAACATAGCCCTCTCCATAGCTCGCTGAGCGACCATGAGCTTCCTCATCCGGCCAGCAGTGAAGGACCACGTCTTAGTTCCGTATGTCATCACTGGCAACACACACTGGTCGTACAGTCTCGTTTTCAAGTTTTGAGGTATACCTGACGAGAAGATGTGCCGTAATTTCCCGAACGCTGCCCAACCGAGTTGAATCCGTCGATTGACCTCTCGGTCGAAGTTGGACTTACCTAGTCGGACTATGTGTCCCAGGTAAACATACTCGTCAACAACTTCGAGCTTACTGCTCCCAACAACTACCGGCATAGGTGTGACATGGACATTTAACATGATCTTTGTTTTGTCCATGTTCATCTTAAGATCTACCCGTTGGGAAGCACTATTGAGGTCATTGAGCATAGTGCTTAGGTCCTCCAGCGATTCTGCCATAAGGACTATATCGTCGGCAAATTGAAGGTGAGTGATGTACTCGCCATTGATGTTGATACCGTATCCTTTCCAGTCCAGAAGCTTGAAAACGTCTTCCAATGCAGCGGTGAAGAATTTCGGTGATATGACGTCACCCTGTCTTACACCTCTCTGCAATTGGATAGGTTTCGTACTCTGGTTCTGTACTCGGATAGCCATCATAGCCCTACTGTACAAGCACTTCAGCACTTCGATATACCGACAGTCCACTTGGCACCGCTGAAGTGACTGCAGCACCGCCCAAATTTTAAACGGAATCAAAGGCTTTCTCATAGTCCACATACGCCAGACATAGTGGCAAATTGTACTCCTCTGACTTTTGTACAATTTGCCGAAGGGTATGTATGTGGTCTATGGTGCTTAAAGCCTTTTCGGAAACCGGCTTGTTCGGGAGGCTGGAAGTCGACAAATCTGCGCGCGAGAGGGGGTCGACCAGGTCCACTTCCTGTGGGGCCGCTTCTGAAAGAAAGAGTTCATCATAAAGAGTCCCTCTTTCTCCATGAAGTCGGCCAGCTGCTGGCCCCTTGGGTTCCGTTGCCCTATTCCAAATTTCCCTACTTTCAGCTCACCGTTTTCTCTTGTACCTAGTTTTGCGTTGAAGTCTCCCATTAACACCGTATAGTGGGTTTTGGAGGAATGCACGGCTCTAGAGATATCCTCATACATTTTCTCCACCTCCTCATCGGGGTGTGCCGAGGTTGGTGCGTAAACCCGTATGACCTTCAGCGAATACCGTTTGGTGATTCTGAGTATAAGGTACGCAACCCTCGTCGACACACTCTCAATCTTTACAACGTTGTTAACGAGAGACTTGTGGACGATAAATCCGACACCTCCTTGGGACAGATGGTCGCCCTCCCGGTAATAGAGCAAGTTGCCGGATTCGAGGATTACAGTTTTCTCCCCCTGTCTTCGGACTTCGGATAATGCTATAATATGCCAGCGTAACTTGTCTATCTCTTCTTCCAGTTTAGATCCGCCGTTACCATGGTCACCACCGTAGCCAGGAATAGCGGGGCCGCCGGGGACTGGGGGCCGTCTCTTCGTTACTTTCATGGGGGGGTATATTGCCATAGTTGCCACGCTTGGCGAACCGGTTGGCAACCGCAGTTTTTTTATTGTATTTTTGCTGTATCAGGAAGATGCTGCTGCCATTCTCCTGCCTGTTTCCCTTTGTCGCCTTTTACGACACCCACGGGAAGATATGAGGTAGTGGATATTCTTAACCGCCACTACACGGCACGGCTTTTTGCATACATAGTATTCTCAATTTAATTTTTTTTCTTAATTTTTTTTTAAAAAAACTTTACCTCCACACTAGGATTTTCTCCTATGTCGTGGAGGTAGTTTACAAACATAAATTGCACAAGGACAAACACCCAGACCCGGAACAATTATTTGTAGGCCATACAAATACTTGTACCGTGCGGGATTCGAACCCGCGGCCCCCAGCTCAACAACTGATTGCTAAGCCACTGCGCCACGGAGCCGTCAGTATTATATCTAGTACCATGGTTCGGAACCTTTCATGCGCGAGTTCGACTCGCACTTGGCCGGTTTTCTTTAATATTGTACAATATATTTCAATCTATAATATAAAATGAATCTCTGAATGTGTTGCTAAGCGCAAATTTCGAGAGCAGCTGAAACGATTTCGCTAATTCTTTTTTTTATAATATTCCTTCAAGTACGAAGATGGTACTTACGGAGAAAAAATTTTAAAAAATTGCCTGAAAATGTCTAAAAACAACACTGTTTTATATTCCCATACAAAAGATTCGTAATAATACTTAAAAGTCAATTTGAACTTTAATGCCATACCATAAAGCTGTTAGGCGGTACGAAGTTCGCCAGGTCAGCTAGTGTTATATAAATAAATGATTTAACATAAGTGATTAATATACAACGTTCGAATTAAATAACACAAAGTTCAAACAAAACAATTTATTATTAAAATAAAAAAAAAATTAAAGCTCAGTCTTCACATTGCGGTCTTTGTGCCAGTTTCGGAAAGCGGCTACCGCACTTAGAACGTCTTCTGAGAAGACCTTAGGCATTTCCATGGCGATGAAATGACCGCCGTCATCCAAAACGGTCTCGTTGATTAAGTTTTTGTATTTGAACTTCAAGATCCAAGGCGGAAGGTAGGCCAGCTCATTCTTAGCTTGCAGTATCCATGTTGGTACCGGTGTTGGGATCCTGTGGAAGAAGATTTTTTTCCTCAGTTGACTAAGACGACTAGTTTTCTAGTTTTTAGACTCAGAAGACTAGTTTTCCTCAGTTGGTTTTTGGAAATATTCAAAAAGTTAAACCGGGTGCCAACTACTGTTAGGAGAGGGATTAATGTGGTAAAAATATCTGCTACCCCAAATCGCGTCCCGTGGGTGTCGTAACAGGTGACAGAGCAATAAAACGGGAGTTGGGCAGCAGCGTCTTCCTAATAACTAGTTAAATTAACCCTCTGAACCGGTTGTGATAAAAGTTCACATCAATACCAGGAGAGACCTAGGCTGTATTTTATCGGAAAAATCTGGAGATCGAAAAAATGATAAAATAAAATGGTTTTAATGATTTCGCTCATAAACTATAAGTATTAAATAAAGTTTCATATTTTTTTTTGCTTTGCAATTCGGCAAAAAGGTAATTACATTATACATTTTTCTTAAATTTATATACAAAATAGATTTTTAACATTGTTTTACTTCAACGCCGTTTTGCAACAAAAATAGGAATGTGTTTTAGGATTAGACTTAGATTAAAGAATACGATAATAATATCTTTACGAGAAATCTTAAATTTTTATCTATACCTATAAATGAAGTTGAAATGTATATCTCAGAGGATTTTTTGCATACTATTAAGAAATAACCAAATATTTTAAAATTTTTGGCTATCTGTCTGTCTGTCCGGACTAATCTTTGGAACGGCTAAACCTGATTTGTGATGAAACTTTATGAATAGATAGAGAGTAATACCACGTCATGATATGTAATATATTTATATATCGTATACTAAACTATGTTATGACACTTAATATTTTATATACTGTGGTGCTAAACCACGTTATGATACTTAATAATTTTATATAAAGTGTGCTAAGCCACGTCATGACACTTATTGTTTTTATATATCGGTCTCGTTTTCAAGTTTTGAGGTATACCTGACGAGAAGATGTGCCGTAATTTCCCGAACGCTGCCCAGCCGAGTTGAATCCGTCGATTGACCTCTCGGTTGAAGTTGGACTTACCTAGTCGGACTATTTGTCCCAGGTAAACATACTCGTCAACAACTTCGAGCTTAGTGCTCCCAACAACTACCGGCATAGGTGTGACATGGACATTAAACATAATCTTTATTTTGTCCATGTTCATCTTAAGAGCTATCCGTTGGGAGACACTATTGAGGTCATTGAGTATAGTGCTTAGGTCCTCCAGCGATTCTGCCATAAGGACTATATCGTTGGCAAATCGAAGGTGAGTGATGTACTCGCCATTGATGTTAATAACGTATCCTTTCCAGTCCAGAAGCTTGAAAACGTCTTCCAATGCAGCGGTGAAGAGTTTCGGGGATATAACGTCACCCTGTCTTACACCTTTCAGCAATTGGATAGGTTTCGTACTCTGGTTCTGTACTCGGATAGCCATCGTAGCTCTACTGTACAAGCACTTCAGCACTTCGATATACCGACAGTCAACTTGGCACCGCTGAATGAACTGCAGCACCGCTCAAATTTCGACGGAATCGAAGGCTTTCTCATAGTCCACATATGCCAGGCATAGTCGAAAATTGTATTTCTCGGACTTCTGTACAACTTGCCGAAGGGTAGGTATGTGGTCTATGGTGCTAAAGCCCTTTCGGAAACCGGCTTGTTCGGGAGGCTGGTAGTCGTCAAGTCTGCGTGCGAGACGATTCGTAATGACTCTCGAAAACAGCACGTAGACGCGGCTCAGAAGGGAAATCGGTTTGTAGTTCTTCGAGAGAGCATTGTCACCTTTCTAGGACCTTTTTAGGACAAGACCATCGTACTTCTGCTCCACGCCTACGGTGTAATGCCACCACGGAGGACGGAATTAAAGAGCCTCTGAAGGACTTCCACTACCGGTTTTCCACCCACTTTCAGAAGCTCCGCTTTAATTCCATCTTCGCCTGGGGCCTTGCCGTTTTTAAGATGTTTTTATATATCGTATACTAAACTATGTTATGATACTTAATGTTTTATATACCGTGGTGCTAAACCACGTCATGATACTTATATTTTTTAATTATACTGTATTCTAAACAACGATATGCTACTTACTCATCAAGACCCAGGCTTGCGTATCTCTTGTTAAAAGTTTCGGAGTATAGTCTCATAGAAGTTGTGATGGAGTTGGTAGCCCAGTACATCATGAGGTTGTCGATGAGCTGTTCCCGAGTATAACTGCTGGTTAGTCCGCCATCGGCCTTAAGTTTGTACTGGGGTTTTGTCCAGGTGGAGAATTTTTCCAGGATATACGCGAGGAGACCAGACGGGGAATCTGATAGCGCTACACCTGTAAGTAGAAAATTATAGTTACAGCCTTTATATGATGATTATTAGATTATTATTAGAATAATAAATAGTGAAACGGGCAAGGTCAAACCGCGCAACTCGGATTTTCAATTGAATATTAACAATAATTTAACGCGATCTGATCAAGAAGTTGCTATGGCTTTTGAGAAACATTTTACTGATGTTCCTTTTTTGACAACAAAATCATTAAATTCTTCTCCTACTGTCGCCGAATCATTGCTCAAACAAAATGTAAAGGCTTGTTCAAATACTTTTAAATTCCATAGAGTACTGCCAAAAGATATCGTTAAATATTTTAAAACTATTGATGTTAAGAAAACGGCAAACTTATGGGGTATTTCCGTTAAAGTTATTTTATCTATAATAGATACATTAGCACCTTATCTAGCCACTATATTTAATATAAGCGTCGAATCTGGTGTGTTTCCTAATTTAATGAAACATAGTAAAGTCATACCTATATTTAAATCTGGTAGTACATTAGACCCCGCCAATTTTAGACCAATTTCTGTACTACCAACATTAAGTAAAATTTTTGAAAACATTATTTTAGATCAGATGTTAAGTTTCTTTAATATTAATAAATTGCTACATAAAAATCAATTCGGTTTTACAAGGGGTCGCTCGACAGCTGATGCTGGAGTTGAGCTTATTAAACATATTTTTTGTGCATGAGAGAATTCAGAGGATGCTTTGGGTATATTTTGTGACCTTTCCAAGGCCTTCGACTGTGTTCACCATGAGACATTAATCAGGAAGCTACAGTACTATAGTATCAAGAACACAGCGCTTAAACTTATTATTTCATATTTAAGTAATAGAAAACAGAAGGTTATTATCAATGGTAAAAGTTCTTCCGGGTCACCTGTACTAATGGGTGTTCCTCAGGGCTCGATTCTCGGCCCATTCCTGTTTCTGGTGTATATTAATGACTTACCTCACCTTGTAGGGGATAGTCATGATATAGTATTATTTGCTGATGATACTTCCTTGATTTTTAAACTTAAACGTCAATCATTTAAATGTGATGAAGTGAATAATGCTATATCAAAATTAGTGCATTGATTTAACGTTAATAATCTGCATTTGAACGGAAACAAAACTAATTGTGTTAAATTTACAACAACGAATTTTAAAAATCTGAATACCAATGTGTTTTTAAATGGGGAGGAATTGAGCCCTGTTGTATCCACTGTTTTTCTTGGCATCACTCTTGACGCAAAGCTCCAGTGGGGCCCCCATATATCCAAATTAGCAAGCAGACTAAGTTCTGCAGCCTATGCTGTAAAAAAGATTAGAGGTCTCACTAGTGTCGAGACAGCTAGATTAGTTTATTTTAGTTATTTCCATAGCATAAAGTCTTATGGGATTTTGCTATGGGGAAATGCGGCTGATGCAGAAACTATTTTTGTTTTACAGAAGAGGGCCATTAGAGCTATTTACAATCTAAAACCGAGAGAGTCTCTTAGAGATAAATTTAAAGAAATTAATATATTAACTTTGGCCTCTCAGTATATTTACGAAAATTTAATGTATGTTCACAAAAACAAAGATAGTTTTAGTAAAAAAAGTGATATACATTCTGTAAACACTAGTAACAAACACAAACTAGTGATGCCAGTTTCTCGACTCCACAGAGTCAGTAATTCATTCTTGGGGCAATGTATACGCTATTACAACAAGGTCCCGGAAAGTGTACAGGTTCTCTCTATTACCAAGTTTAAATGTTTTATTAAGCTGAAACTGTATAAAAAGGGTTATTATAGTATAAATGAATACATGGTTGATAATAACCCCTGGGAATGAGGTGGTCGCTTCCAAGCAGTTTCTAAAATAAATTTTGTAAATAGTTCGTAATCATTTATATTGTAAAATTTATTTAAAAAAAAGTCCTGCTGGGTTTCTTGCTGGTTCTTCCCAGGACAGAGGGTTTTTTTTCGAACCAGTGGTAAAGTAAAAAATGACTTTCAATAAGAATTACACATGTAATGTATATTGAATAAAAAATATTCTATTCTATTCTATTCTATTCTATTAATAGAATCAGGCGTTATTTTGCGGAAACCCATAATTTTTTATAGGATTATAGGTATTCTTTTTATAGGAGGATAAGATAGGTCTTAAGATGAACATGGACAAAATAAAGATCATGTTCAATGTCCATGTCACACCTATGCCGGTAGTTGTTGGGAGTACTAAGCTTGAAGTTGTTTACGAGTATGTTTACTTGGGACAAATAGTCCGACTAGGTAAGTCCAACTTCGACCCAGAGGTCAATCGACGGATTCAACTCGGTTGGGCAGCTTTCGGGAAATTACGGCACATCTTCTCGTCAGATATACCTCAAAACTTGAAAACGAGACTGTACAACCAGTGTTGTGTTGCCAGTGATGACCTATGTAACTGAGACGTGGTCTTTCACTTTTTTTATAGGATAGAGGGCAAAGGAGCATGCGGCTCACCTGATGGTAAGTGACTACCGCCGCCCATGAACAACTGCAACACCAGGGGAATTGCAGATGTGTTGCCGGCCTTTTAAAAAGGAATAGGCTATTTTCTTGAAGGTCCCTAAGTTGTATCGGTCCGAAAAAATCGCTGGTGGTAATTGATTCCACAAGGAAGATGTGCGAGGAAGAAAACATCTTCTAAATCGCACAGTGGTGGACCGCCAATCATCCAGATGGTATGGATGGTATCGCGATGTGCGATGGTGAAATTGAGCGGCTGGAATTAGTTCGAACAATTCCTGAGAGCACTCCCCGTGATACATGTGATAAAATATGCAAAGAGATGCAACATCTCTACGCAGTGCCAGTGAGTCAAGCCGATCGGAAAGAACACGGTCGACGACGATTCGAATCGCTCTGCGCTGGATGCGGTCAAGTGGAAGGAGCTGGCACTAGGGAGCCCCTGCCCAGAGATGGGAACAGTATTCCATGTGAGGCCGAACCTGCGCCTTGTAAAGTTGCATGTACACTAAACCTATGATTCATGTTAAGTGTGTAATCAAAATAAGTATTTAAACGTATACTAGAAATAACTTTACTTCAGATAACCGGACCATAAAAATATTAAATTTAATTTAACATATTCTTTTCTTTGCCAATTATATGTGATTTTATTTCCTCTGAATTGACCCGGGAGTAAGATTATTGTCAAAAACCCCACTTTATCGATGTGCCTGTCGATTATCGATATTTGGTATCAAAAGGCGTCCCCATGTAATGGCTGGTAAGAATACTCACTACCCCATATCTTCCCGTGGGTGTCATAAAAGGCGACAGAGGGAAACTGAGGCAGAGGATGGGCAGCAGCATCTTTGTGATAACAGCAAAACAACAATAAAAATCTGCGGTTGCCAACCCGCTCGCCAAGCGTGACAACTACGGCAATATACTCCCCCACGAAAGTAACGAAGAGACGGCCCTCAGTCCCCGGCGGTCCCGCTATTCCTGGCTACGGTGGCGACCATGGTAACGGCGGGGCAGGGGGTGCTAAGAATCTCCGGTGGAGGTTCGGTTGCCACCTACGACGACTCGACCTGGCAACTTATAACGCACGCAACCTGAGGACTGAGAAGAAGATCCTGGAGCTGGAAGAAGAGACAGACAAGTTGCGCTGGAATGTCATAGGATTATCCGAAGTCCGAAGAGAGAGGGAGGACACGGTAATCCTCGAATGCGGCAACTTGTTCTATCACCGGGAGGGCGATCATATGTCCCAAGGATGTGTCGGATTTATCGTCCACAAGTCTATCGTTAACAACGTTGTAAAGATCGGGAGTGTGTCGACGAGGGTTGCGTACCTTATACTCAGAATCACCAAACGGTATTCGCTGAAGGTAAATAAATAAATAAAATTTTATTGATCATGCATTCCTCCAAAACCCATTATACGGTGTTAATAGGAGACTTCAACGCAAAACTAGGCACAAGAGAGAACGGTGAGCTGAAAGTAGGGAATTTCAGAATAGGGCAACGGAACGCAAGGGGCCAGCAGCTGGCCGACTTCATGGAGAAAGAGGGACTCTTTATGATGAACTCATTCTTCCAGAAGCGGCCCCACAGGAAGTGGACCTAGTCGAGCCCCGACGGTTCGACAAAAAATGAGATTGACTTCATTATGACGACCAGACGACAACTGTTCAGTGATGTCTCAGTGATTGCGAGGGTGAAAACCGGCAGCGATCACCGAATGGTGAGAGGCACACTGAATCTAAACGTTAAGTTGGAGAGGTCTCGTCTAATGAAGTCAACGCTCCGTCCCCCACGTGCTATAATCCAAAGTCCCGAAACCTTTCAGCTCGAGCTACAAAACCGTTTTCAGTGCCTAGAAGATTGCAATGCAATGGACGATATTAATGATAAGCTCGTGGAAACTGTCCATGCGGTCGGAGCTAAGTTCTGCAAGACCCGCCGCAGAAGAACACAAAAACTCTCCTACCACACTCTTAATCCCATGGCTGTTGGACGGGATATGAAGCTGCAGTCTTCAGTAGATTTGATAGCATACAGGCAACTGAACAGACAGATCTCCAAATGCATGCGGAGTGACTTACACATCTTTAATACTGCTCGTATTAAAGAAGCGATCGAGCGGAACCAGGGCTCCAAAGTCTTTGCTAGAGATCTGTCTGCCAGAAAGAGCCAACTGTCGAAGCTGAAGACCGAGTGTGGCAGCGTCGTTGACGGGACACCTGAGATTTTAAGTGAGAATGAGAGGTTCTATGGGCAGCTGTACACATCATCGTTGGAGCCACACGTAAGTGTGTGTAACGATCCAAGAGCGAGTTTTATCCGACAATATTCCGATGATATCCCGGACGTCAGTCTGAGTAAGATTAGAATGGCTCTCCAGCACCTTAAAAACGGAAAGGCCCCAGGCGAGGATAGAATTACAGCGGAGCTTCTGAAAGTGGGTGGAAAACCGGTACTTGAAGTCCTTCAGAAGCCCTTTAATTCCGTCCTCCATGGTGGCACT